GGGTGGAATAAAGGAAGAGGGGGTCGAATATAAAAATTGTCAAGTTTGATGAAAAATGAGGAAAAAATAATTTTACTAATTTATATCGAAATAACGTGCGGGAGCACGTGGAGTGGTATGACTGTCTGGATGTTTGGCTATGATAATGACTCTGCTTTGGCGTTTTGCACTATCCTCTATGATGTAGATGTAGGTCGGCGTGGGATCAGACGATTCGCACGCGCCATTTTTCGCAACGAAAAGGAAAGCTATCTTACGTGCGCGCAGCAAAATCTGGTGTATAGGTTCGGTTCTCTGTCAGCGGGTTAACGGTGCTACGGCCTACTTAGGAGACACGGAGTCGGAGTCCGACTCGTGTGCGTGCTTATATATCCAAATCCAACTGGAGATGGTTAGACGTGCTGTATATCTATATACAGGAGTCAGAGTCCAGGAGCCACACGAGTTAAATTCACTGGGAGATGATACTGCGGTTGGACAGTTTAAAAGGGGCCTTCGTACAATTCCGTACTATGTTCAAAGATTAGGTATAGAAAGAATGAAAAATATAAATTTTCAAAAAAAAAATTTTTTTTTTGAAAATTTTTTAATTTCCAAAATTTTATGTAAACGCTGGGTATATTAACACGTGAATGTGAGTGTAACGTTAACTGGTTATGGACGCGTATTTACTAGGGATTTTGTTTGCTAGTGATATTCTAGTAATTAACGTGATCTTATGGTTAATTTTCGTTTTGTTGGTATTACAGAACGAATGAGGTATCGTTGCTACGTTATCGTCTCTATTGCCATGAGTTTCTAATTTTTCGTGTAATTTCGATAATATCAATTTTTGGCACTGGGAACTAAAGCTAAGTGATAACAGTATGGGGCCCGTTAAGTGAGATTGGGCCCCGAACGTATTCTATGGTTAAACGGATAATAAATCAATCAGTCAGATTGCCGAATTCGCCTTGTGGATCTACCCAGTGATCTCATTGATAAGTAGCTCACCATTGTCGTAGGACCGAAAAGTGGGGCCCAGCCGTGCGATAACCCTACACGTTTTACTTGGCGTAAGGCCCCAACCTCTACGCCATTGGATAACGGTACCAAGCGACGCGTCATGCCGCGACTTCCCCTCCCCTCCTCCCCAGC